TCCTTAACTGGAAACCATACATACTTCTATTTGTGAGGTACAGAAAATATTCTTGTGATGAGATGGAGAAATCAAACCACTACCTTATCCTTTACTGCTCTCCAACTCAGCATACTCATTCCACTTCTGCTTAGTATACTGTACTTGTGGTAGCTCCATAGAGTGATCTAAGAAAGGAAAATGGGCCAAGGAACAATCCTGTAGCACATGCTTGACAACCAGGTGGCCCATATCTGTGACACCAGCACCAAAGGCTAAGAAAAGATGTTGAGTTGCAAAACAAGTACCTTTTTTTTTTTAAAAAAAAAATTAATGTGTATTAAGCAATGAAGAGAAGAAACAGAAGTGAAAAATGTTAAATTTAGATTATAGAACATTATCTATTCTAGTTTGTCCAAGCTATCCTTGACAAGTTAATTCAAGCTGTCTTGTTTGGGTGTATGTAGACATCTTCAGCTCATACTTGTTACGAGTGACAAAACTGTGCTGTAAGCTGGTTTTCGGATGATAATTTTGAGGGGAAGAAAAAGCTGAAGGGAAGTAACAGCTTCAGTTATGACCCATAGTCAGTAACTTCCATTAGCCACAAGGACACAAAAGCCATTAAAGTTTAGTATGCATTTAATATTCAGTTTAGCTACATTGCAATGGTATTGCAATACAGGGAAAAATAAAAACCTGGATGAGTTTTCTGATGCATTGTGGAGAAGAGAGGCTACAACTCACACTGGAAATACAGTTAACTTAGGTAATGTGAAGTCAAATTATTTAATACTTTCTTGAAATTTTTAAAATTTTGACGTGTGTGTGTGTGTGTGTGTGCATGTGTATGCAAATGTGTGCATTTGCACAGATGCCTGTGCAGGCTAGAAGAGGTGTAATGTCCCCTAGAGTTAGGGTTACAGACAGTTGTGAGCCAATTAATGTAAGTTGGGTGCTGGGAACTGAACTTAGGAACTCTTGAGAGCAATAAATGCTTTTAATTAGTGAGCCACCTTCCCAGCCTGAAATATACTTTGAGACCAAAAACAAAATGTGACTTCCCCCAGCTTCTACTTAAAAAAATATTAGGTTAATTATGATCATAAAAATTCTGCTGGAATTTACTTGCCTAAATACTGTAGTCCATACTGAAAATGAAAACAAAATAAGTGTAACCCAAAAAGTAAAGAGAAGCACACCCTATTTAGAATGATAGAACAGGTTTGAAGAAATTAAAGAATAAATGCTGTGTTAGTAAAAACAGATGTGAGCTGGTAGGTTTTCTTAAATCTACTGATAATTCTCAAACATTATCCTAATCTTCTGTCTGACTTCCAGTGCAAAAATGTCATTGAATTGGGTATTTACATCTGTCAGACGGGCATGACCTCGAAACCTGAAGTGTGGATCTGTTATTCTGGCCCTAGAAATCTGAGCCAGTTGTGGACCCAAATTATGCAGTTTTTAAAATAAAGCCGCAAGGCCGCTGATGATATTTTAAAAGTGGATTATTTCAGGCTATTGAGTTGGCTTCACAGGTAAAGAAGGTTTCCACCAAGATGGACCACCTGAGTTTTATGCCCAGAACCTGTCTGGTGGAAGGAAAGAATTAATTCCTTCAAGATGTGTTCTAACCTACACACAGACACACACGTGCACACACACAAATAAGCTAAAAATCTTGAGTTTGAGCGTCAAGAATAAAATATGACCATGTTAGCAATATACCATTTACTATGCAACGGAAACACTAAGCTGCATCTTCCAAGAGGAGAGAGACTTAATGTCATGGTAGGAACAGAGAGAACATTTGAAGAGTGTGGGCTAGTTGTTGCTGTCATGATGTGTTTTAGAAGCAAGAGATGTGCCAGAAAGCCAAAGGGTTCATACATCTGAACTCTTAGGGTGGGATGTGTGTGTGTGTTGTACAGCTCACTCATCTGACCTCCTCTTTCAATTATGTTTTTAGGGTGTAAATAAGAAAGCTGTGCTGACTTCTCTATTTCTTTTCAGTAGAATTTCATGGTTTGGCTTTTCCTTGAAAATGAGGAATCACCCTGCATCGGCAGTTGTAGGTTTCTGGGAAGGAAATGGGGTTTATCGCCTTCATAATACAAATAATACAAAGCTCTGATTGTTCTAGAATGTTTTGTGTTGTTGCCATGAGATTTTTTTTTCTGTATATATAAGAGCCACTAATATAAGAAATGAGATTGAGTGCTTGGTCCCACATTTGAAAACAAACCAGGAATTCTGATGAATGATCATTCCTGAGCCCGGGCTTGTCAGTAAAGAACTTTGCATAGAAATTAAGACACCTTTGTTAGGAATGGGGAAACAAATGGCAAAGACTTCAGCTCATCATGTAATTTTTTATTAATTAATAATTTATTAATTTATCTTACATTCTGACCACAGCTCCCCCTCCTTTTTTCTCCCCCCCACCCCAATCCACTCCTCTGTTTCTGGTCAGAGTGGAGCAGGTCTCCCATAGGTAGCAACAAAGCATGCTATAGCAAGCTGAGGTAGAACGCAGCTCCTCCCATTGTATTAAGACTGGGTAAAGTAACCCAATATGAGGAATAAGTTCCTCAAAGCCAGTCAAAAGATTAGGGATAGCATCTGCTCCCACTGCTAGGAGCCCCACAAGTAGACCAAGCTACATAACTGTCACACATATGTAGATAGCCTAGGTCAGTCCCATGCAGACTCCCTGGCTGTTGGTCCAGACTGTGTGAGCTCCTGTGAGCCCAGGTTAATTGATTCTGTGGGTTCCCTTGTGATGTCCTTGACACCACCCCACCCTGCCCTGCTCGTACAATCCTTCCTACCTCTCTTCAGCAGGAGCTCTGCCCAGTGCTTGGCTGTGGGTCTCTGCATCAGTTTCCATTAGTTACTGGATGAAGACTCTCTGATGACTACTGGGACAGTCACCAATCCATGAGAATAGCAGAATACCACCAGGCATCATAATGCTGACACTTTTCTTCTCCAGTCATGTTTGGTTCTAGCCTAGGTCTCTGGGTTCTGGTGCTCCTGGCAGTGTCAGGGTTGGGTTCACTCTCGTAGTCTGGGTCTGAGGCTAGACCACTCCCACAATCTCCACACTGCCCTTATCACCGCCACCCCCACCAAATCCCCACACAGGCAGGAAAAATTGTAGGCCAAAGGTTATGTAGATAGGCTAGTGTCCCAATCTCTCCACTGGAAGTCCTTCTTGGTCACAGGAGATGGCCAGTTCAGGCTAAGCATCCACCAATTCTGTTCTTAGCTGGGGTTATCCTTGTAGATTCCTGGGAATTTCTCTTGCATCAGGTTTCTACCTAACCCCAAAATGCCCCCCCCCAGTTTCCTGTCATCTCTTTCAGTACTTTCCCTCTTCATCCACTCTCCAACCTGATCCCCCAGTCCACCTGCCCCAGTCCACCTGCCCCCAGCCCACCTGTCCCCCAGCTCACCTGCCCCCAGTCCACCTATCCCCAGTCCACCTGCCCCCAGCCCACCTGTCCCCCGGCCCACCTGCCCCCAGCCCACCTTTTCCCAGCCCACCTGTCCCGAGTCCACTTTTTCCCAGCCCACCTGTCCCCAGTTCACCTGCCCCCAGCCCACCTGTCCCCAGTCCACCTGCTCCCAGTCCACCTGCCTCCCAGCCCACTTTTTCCCAGCCCACCTGTCCCCAGTCCACCTGCCCCCAGCCCACCTGTCCCCAGTCCACCTGCCCCCAGCCCACCTTTTCCCAGTCCACCTGTCCCCAGTCCACTTTTTCCCAGCCCACCTGCCTCCAGCCCACCTGCCTCCAGTCCACCCATAAGATCTCTTTTCTTTCCTTTCCCCAGGAAATCATCATGTAATTTCTAAATCAGCCGCTGTGACTCATTCATTCTCTGTTCAGCTTTTATGCATATATTGGTTATGCACATGCATTCTCTCTATGTATGAGATTGTATATTACAGTTGCTCTCCCCAGGCCTTATGCTATCTGAAAAATCCTTTCGACTCTAGATTGACAGCTGACATTTCATCTGTCTAATACTCCATGGAAGAGGATGTTGGCTTGGAGAAGTTCTTGTTTAAAAACAAAGCTGGAGTTGTCCTTACTGAGTCCTCTGTAGATCACTAAACAAGAACAGCCATCTGTATGGATTGTTACGGATACAGTAGCCAACAATTAATTTATTAACCCTACTAACGAACATGGTCGAGATTTTTAAAACAAAATCAAAATATCAAAACAGTATTCAAGGTGTTTAAATATTATATGAACTCTGAAAATGACTTATAAAAGTAGACTTTAATATTGTGGGTTGTCAATCTTCCTAATGCTGTGACCCTTTGATACAGTTCCTCATGTTGTGATGACCCCAATCATAAAATTATTTCACTGCTACTTCGTGACTGTAATTTTGCTACTGTTATGAATCATAATGTAAATATCTGACAAGCACGATATCTGATATGTGACCCTTTGGGGGCCGCAACCCACAGGTTGAGAATCACTGCTTTTGTTTGTATGTTCATTTTGTTTCATTGTCGAGACAGGGCTTCTTTGTGTAGCCCTGGTTGTCCTGGAATTCACTCTGTAGACTAGGTTGAACTCGAATTCAGAGATCTGCCTGCCTCTGCCTCCTGGTGCTGTATCTTTTAGAAAAAGATCAGTATTCTGATGAACTGATAGAAATGATGTGTCAAAGGAGGTCCATCAATGCTATCGCTGAAACAAATCTGCCAATGGGCAGTTTTACAGGATGCCTGGCTGTGAAGCATAGCCAGAAAAATTTATGACAAGCAGTTGGCAAAGTGTCCTGCTAATGGTGCTGTATGCCATCTAGATTTCCTAGGATAGGTAGATAACGGGGAGGTCATGGTAACATTGGTGGTAGGAGCCCACTGTCTGGTCCCCGTGTGTAGCAATAAAGCTGCAACTAAAGGTTATGGCTGGAGAACAAACAGAAATGATCTGAATCTCGATCATTCGGGCCCAGGAGAAAATGGAAAGGAAAAAGGAGAAGTCGACTTACTAGGGAATTAGTTCATCTCTTCTACAGTACGAGAAGTTCCTTGCAGGGCTCTCTTGCAACCTAGGGAACTGGAGAGATGGTGGCACAGTTCATTCTAATTTCAAAGGTCATGGCCCATGCTAGGGAAGGGAACCCACGCTACAAATTACAGTTGGAGGCTGAAGGCCCGAGGGTGGCACTGGCCCTGGAGTCCAGGAGGCCTGGAATTCTCGTGGCCAAGGACGATAGAAGAGGTAAGAAAGGCCTCTATTCTGGGAGATGAGTACATTCTTTTCTAGTTTTAACCTCTCCAGGTTCCCTGGACAGTAATTACACACACCGAAGGTGAATAATCTCCATTGAATGTACCCAGGCTCATTTATCAGTCTCTTCTGGAAATATCCTCACAGACAATCTCCAGACAGACTAACTTTTCATTAGTGCAGTTGAGTGGCCACCTGAACCCGACATGCTTAATTCCATCAGTTGTATCTTAGCAGTTTTAAAATCCCTGCTTCCATGTGATGGGTTGTTTCTCTACTGGGTACAATGCCAGGCAACCGCAGTAGCTAATAAGTGTGGCTATCCAGCCCTGCAAAATGAGACTCAGTCCCAGGTTTTCAGCGTTCTCTTAATGTAGGCCACACTCCACCCATGCTTTAGTGACCGAAGTGTGCAACAGACCACACTCTCTTACTTCTTTATTATTATTATTATTATTATTATTATTATTATTATCATTATCATTATTATTATTATTTTGAAGCACAGAGGCATGTCACTTCCTGCCCCCACCCCTGACAGCACACCAGGGGAGGCACTGGAGAGTAACAGAGGCTAGACTGACCCTTTAGAAACAGCTGTGTGGAAATTAGTAGCTTAAGTGAGCCATATCCATGTCCCTTCACTGAGGTTTATTTTTTTTTTAAATTTATTTATTATGTATATAGTGTTCTGGACACCAGATCTCACTATAGATGGGTGTGAGCCATCATGTGGTTGCTGGGAATTGAACTCAGGACCTCTGGAACAGCAGTCAGTTCTCCTAACCTCTGAGCCATCTCTCCAGCCCCCTTCACTGAGGTTTATTAACTGAAAAAAAAACCCACAAAACCAATAGGTCCCTAATTCTTCACTTATGTGAATCCAGCCAGCAACACCATCTTCTGTGAGTTGCAGAGCTTATGTGGGTTCTGTGGGTTCTGAGCATCACATAAAATACATTCATGTTCTTCTGTTCTACGAAGACTCTGGGCTTCTTCGATAGATAAGAAAAAAAAAAAATCACATGGCAGTGTGCCGCCATACGTGACTATGCCAAAAGCAGGCATGAAGCAATTCTCTGTTCTCGGAGCCTGCATTTCACTATAGAAGAAGAGCCATGAGCGGAGCCAACATTAGCGGAGAACGGGACTGGAACTAGAAAACCTGGCCGGTCCATGACCTGCACTGTAAACAGGTCCCGCATGTGAAAATCCATTCAGCTTGTTTTACTATGGAGGAAACGACGAGGGCTCGCAGGAGCAGAAAGGTGTGACACCTCTCCACGGCCATTGTAAGGGGCACGGCCAACACCCCCTAAAACAGGCTGGCAAGAGGAAAACGTGATGAGTGCATTTTAGCCACCGTGTTCCGTGACACAGCAGCTGCCAGAGATGAAGACTAAAAGACCCCGAGAAAATTCTTTGGGTTCAGGCGTCCACATTCTTACTGACTGAGGGGAAGTGGACATTCTCAGCCTCTCCCTAATATTCTTGTTCCCGAGGTTTATGAGGCAGAATGTCCTAGAATGAGGGCCTCGGAGGGCCTTCATAGGACGGAAAGATGATCTTCCTAGGTTTTACGGCTTGGTCTGGGGAGGATGCCCTCTAGTCTTCTACAACTCACCTTGGAGAAGTTTGGTTTCTGGGAGTTGGCTTTGCTTTGGAGGACAAGCAAGGGGTGAAAGAATGGGAGCGCACAGACACCTTGCTTCTGAGGCCTTTACAGTTTCCTACCATTCAAATCACTTAGCGCAGAGGCCCAAACTGTCACAGTTTGAAGGAGTGCATTCTGAGACTGAACGTAAAATTTATAATAAAATACTCTGTTCGGTGATGAATTTTAATGTCTTGGTTATAGTTGGAACAGCCTGTACTTACTTTATTAACATAAATACATTAAAAGCCATATCATTTGTGGACAGAAACAGATTTGGATATGTCATCTAAAGCCTTGTATGAAATACACTAATTAATTCAGCCGTGGGAAAAAGCACACAATTTTCTTTTTTGTTTCTTCAGTAGGTTCAGATGAAGAATGTCAAACTTATCCTAAGGAATTGCTTATCTGAAAAACAAAAACAAGAAACCAAGGGAAAAGTGTTTGACTGGCAATCACTCAAAAAATATGAGGATAAGAAATATGTATGTTGTCAATTTCTTTGGAAAGCCCTTCATAGTGCTGCTAGAAAACAAAATATAATAGCAAACAAGATTTCCCTTCAGGCCTACTGGCCAGGAGTGCAGCTCTTTTAGCTCTTCTGGGTTTTATTGATGCCTTTAAGTCGGAGTCCTGAGAGTAACAGAGCCTTAAGACCCTGCATCCCGGAACTCTTGATTGCAACTGAATTCTGGCTCCCCTGCAGCGCTTTGTACCTCAGTTTCCCAAGGTCTACAATCGGGGTCCTGGCAATTGTTGCAGGCTCTCACCCAGACGTTACAAAGTCTGGAACCCGCCCGGCTCTCGGAAGCGCACTACACGCGCGAGCTGTTACGTCAGTGGTTCCCTCGGCGGCGGCCGGGCTGCCCTCCTAAAATACTAGGATAAGAAGTATAAATGGCCCGGGAGGGTGCAGGCACCGGGCCCACGTGACCGCTCCACGAAGGCCACCGGCGGGGGCTCGGCGCGCAGGCCGC